TTATTATTTTTACTATTTTTTTTTACAATTACATTTATTATTTTTCCATTTGTTTATAAAAAAGGTGCACAATTAAATGCAAAAAAAAACTTGCGTAATACTTTTGATATATATCTGAATTATATTATTCTTTATTTTTATGATTACATTTATTTTTTTTCCATTTGTTTATGAAAAAGATGCAAAATTAAATACAAAAAAATAAACAAACTTGCGTAATAATTTAGATATTCAAGCAACATATACCCATGCATGCATGCTTTGACATCGAAGTAAATGTGGCTTACAAATACAATGTTTGCACTGTTCAATTCTCGCAAAACCTTTTTAAATTAATGCTTAATACATAACAGATTGCTTAATAGTTACAACTTTATTTGCTATACACGTTTTAGTAAATAATGGTGTAATATTACTTCTTTTTTCCCACATACACGTAAAACAACACATATAAAATATACAATATGGAATAATAGAAAATAATAATGTACCTTTTTATGTTTTATGGTTTTTTTATATAGTAAAAATGCATTTTAATGCATTTCTTTCTTCTGTTCAGCACAACAGAAGATATTTAGAAGAATGTTAGAGACCTGTAACCATTGACTTCTGTTGTTTTTATGCTTTTCTTACAGATGTCAATGGTTACAGGTTTTCAGCTTTCTTAAAAATATATTTGTATTCAACAGAAGATAAACTCATAAAGGTTTGGAAACACTTGAAGGAGAGTAAATAGTGTGTAAATGTTCATTCATATGTGAACAATCCCTTTAACTAACCAATAGCAACACAATATTTCTGACTACAATGTGTGGCTTAAACCACATGCAGGACATTATTAAACCTTTAATTTGGTCATAGAATCGTAACAGTACATAAGTAAATACAAAACGAGTAAACAAACAATCCACATAATAATGTTTTGTGAATAAACTTGGCGTAACAAACACTCACCGTCCGGGTTGTTTTCAGGATCGAATCGCTGCCCGCAGCCTTTATTATAACACAGCGCTGACATTGCGGACGCTTCACGACACAAATGAGGTATTTACGAGATATAATAGCTGAAAATTGTTTATTTTATTGCACTAAACGTTCGTCTTGATGTGTCTGGCGTGCGTCTGTCTGTACCTCTGCCCGGAAATTCACGCGAGGCGCTCGGGAAAATTCGCGAACTTTTCTCTGACACCCGACCGCAGCAACGGAAATAAATCGGAAGAGCGGCTCTGACGTGTGAAAGTAGGGTGAAATATATAATTATTGTTTTCAATTTTCTATTTTAATGACTCACTGTGTGTTATATAATTATATTATGTATAAAAAAATCACTATTAAATAGTAATATTATCTAAATAGTAATATTATAGTAATACTAATCGATGCTAAAATGGATAACATTGTCACGTGACAGTTGCTACTTTTCTCACCGAAAGTAAGGACATACCAATCACAGCCATTTATGGTTTCCAAATAATAACTATTTTCTGAAAACTCTTATCAGAGATCTCAATTATTGGAATTTGTTTGTATAAATCGTTAGGTGATGCACTATATAAATATCTCAAATTATAGTAAATAATGAAAGACATTCAAATGCTTATAAATGAAGATTTCTGGGCCACCAAACGCCCTCTGGAGGCAGAATTATGTTCCACTAGAAACAATGTATACCGAGATTTGCCCGACGCCGCACATGGCAGGGGCTCGTGCAACATCGGCAAAGATCGGAATATTTTGTATATTTTATGTTCTTCATAAAATTTTGTATATTTTATGTTCTTCAGCCGCAAATGAAATGCGACATTTTGATTAAATGTATTAGTTATTATGATAATACTTAAATCTATTCATACATAAGGTATATCAGGAGCAAATCACTAATGACAAAACTGAATGATCAGCTAAAGGCAATATTTGTCATTTTAATGAATTTGCTGCATTAAAAGAGCAATATTTGATCTCTGAATGGAATTGCTTTCATCTCTGAAATCAATTTTAAGGGAACATTTTTACCTTTATATGACAGAAGATGTCATATGTCAATATGGAGCAAAATCTCTAAGGAACATTTCCAGTATCTTGTTGAATCTATGCCACGAAGGCAGTTCTGAGGGCAAAAGGGAGGCCAACCCGGTTCTAGTAAGGTGTACCTAATAAAGTGGCCAGTGAGTGTATAGTCCAAAAAGTGTCATAATTCTAGAAAATTCTACACAAACATGCAGCTTAAGTGTTTATGACTTCAAATGTTTTCTAAGTTAAATTTAGCTGAAAATACACCAACCTCCCACCAAATCACTATTAAAGAGGCACTTTTATTGTAAATGTTTGTCAATGACACAATGCTAATAAATGGCACACAACCCACATTAGTAGATACAATTCTTAAGAAAAAAAAGCAGAAAAAAAAGAAAAAAAGAGAGAGAGACCCATAATGTCAGAACATGAGCAGATATTTAGTACACTATTTGACACCGGCCTGTCATAATCATCAATATATGGACTTAATCGCTCAACACGTGGACATGAGCTGAATCACTTTTGGTGATGCAATATTTATAGGCCATACATAAAATGATTGTGCAACATCTCTATCTCTATTGGAGGTGTCAGTAAGGTTAAAGCACTATAGTATTTACTATAAATAACTATAGTATGTTTTAATGTGCGCGTCTGACACCTGGAAATAGGTCTGCTAGCAGATAACACAGCCTCTGTTATTTTTTATCTTGTAAACATTTATTATCATTTATTTAGGATATGCCTTTTCACATTTAGATTCCGACGCCTGATTATTAAACTGTTAAAATGACTGTAAATAAATGAAATATTCTTCAGTATTAAATATGATGTGTTCTTTGGAATAATGTAATTGCATTGTGGTGATATTATATAGTCATTCTGGCATTATATAATAGCATATTATTTTAAAAATGACAATAATATAATTTATCACAATATATTTTGGTGCAATATCATACAGTGAAGTAAAGATATCGTGACAGGCCTAGTGTTGATCACATTTAAAGTTTTCTAAATGACGGAGCGCATTATTCTGCAGAAACCGAAGAGCAATATTTTGATTACAACCCTAACAATTACGCAAATGAGCACAGGAACATGAAAGACAAAAAAAAAGGCCACACTGTCGGTAATAAATGTTAATAAAGACGAGTTCTGTGTGTTGCAGACAGATCAAATGAAAGCATGTCGTCCACTAAAGTGAAACTTGCGTCAGATCTGTAGTGCATATAGTTCTTCAGTCCGCTGAATAATGCGCACTTTAAAATTCATTAGTGATGTTATTGTCTGTTTTCATGCATCCGTTTCACTATCGTCAGACTGACCCTAACATGCAATCTCTGCTCGCAGCACCAAAAAGGAAAAGCTGAAAACTCTCCCAATAAATACACACTTATGTCAATTTAGCATTTACAATCATTTAAATCTATGGAAGCTCATTTCTGTCACAGAACTACAACATCATCACAAAATATGCACTTACCACAATTGTACACTTGTATATTTTGCATTCGTTATTTACTCCTTTAATATGCGTGGTCATTTTGTTACACTGTTGATAAGGTCACAAAATAAACTGCACGCATGTATAGACAGACTCGATAAAAATGATTTCAAATTCGATGCATATTTTTATTAAACATTTTCATGTAAAATAAAATGACTGATTTACTAGGTTGTCTATGATAGAGTTGCTTTTAATTAGGATAATGCTGAATAATAATAACAATAATATAAAAGTATGACAATAAAAATAAAAACACAGTTTTAGTTTGTATGTTCAAGGGCTGCACGATATTGGAACAAATAATAATACTGCGATATTTTGTTTTCCTGCAATAGATTTTGCGATGAATACAATTTGACCAGATTTTTATTTTAATAACTGGCGCAGTGTCACCAGGCCATTTTTAAAATGTGCATCTTTGGATGAAAACAAAGCTAACAAAAAAGTAAGGGTGTACTCACACTAGGCAGTTATTTTGAACCGTGCTAGGGCACGATTGATACCCCCCTCTCCCCTGTGCCCCTCAGCCCCCACACTGTATTTTACCATCCAAGCTGGAGCAAGCGACTGTTCAGTTTAACCCTTTAACAGGCATCATGACCACCTGGTTGACCTTTTATCAATAGGTTATCATTATTTTTTAAATTTTGCTTATTACTATTTGTCAGAGTTTTGTCAGTTTATTATTTAATACCAGATGTGGGCCAAAAACATTATTTCCTTAAAAGTGCATCTTAAAAGGTTAACAGACGAGAAGCGCTCTCACTCCCTACAATGGAGATTGGTTTAGTTATATTGTTTTGTATTATATTTAGTCGTTTGGGATGCAGTGACAGTCAAATCTTCTGCTGAACAGACTCAGCACTTCTAAATATTCATGAAAGTCCTCATGCTGCCGGTATTAAAAAAAAAAAAGTACTAATACTTTCCTTCTTAGACTTTACAGGCCTGAAACTTGCCTATAGCACTTATTCATTGTTGCTGTTATAGTTGTGTAAGTTGCTTTCTTGTCCTCATTTGTAAGTCCCTTTGGATAAAAGCGTCTGCTAAATGACTAAATGTAAATGTATTAGGAGGTTTGGTGAAGGTGCAGCTGAAGTGCAGTGAGGGGTTTGAGTCTTTAATAAACTACGACAGTTTGCATTGATTGAAAAGAATGAATAATAAATCCATATGAAACAGTCCCTTAAAAGGTGATGTCGCGACTTCAGTTTCGTGGTCAGGCACGCTTTGCAAATACTATATAAGTGTACCACAGCAAAGCCCAACTGAACCTCGCTCTGGCACACCTCTTTCAACCGGGCCAAGGCCTGTGCGCGATTCGGAGCACTCACACTTGTCAAACAAACCGGGAATTGGGGTCAAACGGTTCGGATAGCCTAGTGTAAGTACACCTGAAGTCTAAATTGTAAGATAAATTATTGAGATTAGAATTTGTAAATTCTGCAACAGAAACAAGCCCCCATAAACCCCTTAAAACTATTTCAAAGCCATCTCCTTTAATCAAAGCATCATGGACCAACCATGCACTCTAAAGAACAATAGAAAATTCATCGTTTGTTGAAGAACTCCTTCAACTTTTCCATTCTGCATGACTGACTTTAGTTTAGTGTTTCACAGTCGCTGCTGTTTCTCCTCATCTCCTGACCTCCTCTTTGCCTTCCTCCAGCTCCACCAGACACAGCTCCAGGTTTTTGTAGCGGTCCGGGTTCAGGCTGTCTTTCATCTTCTTCTTGATGTATTTGACAACATCCTCCGTGCCTTTGGCTTTGGGATGGTAGTGATTGAGCTGGTATCCATGCAGGTTCTCCTCGGTTCCCGGAGTCACCAATCCAATCAGGAAGCGCAGAAACATGTCCCACTGTCCATTTGGGGAAGCCAGCGCACGGTCGATCGCAGGACGGTACAAGTCGATGACAGAACGATCCTTATTTGAACCCGGCAACCAAGACGTCATCTTGTTCGGTTCGATCACATTCTTCCCGTTTTTCCTGTACGCCACGTATACATACATAGCAGCGATGTACTCCTGGACGGTGACGTGGACAAACTTGAAAACCCACGTTCTGACGTCGGCACTTTCTCGCTTGACCTCAGTGGTCAATCCATCTCGACATTTCAAATCATCGTATTTCAGACCAACAGCTTGCAAATCGTCCACCGTAAAATAATCCCGTGCTTCTTGAATCATCCGATACGCCATCTTTCCCATCAGCTCCGTGAAGTTCTTGTCAAAGTCAGTCCACTTTTGCGCATCCACGTTGCATCCGCGATATTTCTCGAACGAGCGGTTCATCTGAACCACGATGTACTGTGAATAAAACGCCGTAATCCCAGGTGGATGTTTGCCAAATTCAGGATCCCGAAATGCTCGTTCGTAGATATACGCCACCATCCAGCTGAACAGAGGAAGATGGCAGATGATCTCCAGGGCTTTGGAGCGTTTCATGTGGTTGTAAACTTTTCGCCCGAGTTCCGGCTCGGGGGTCCTCTTAGTGAAGAACTCTTCCTTTTTATCATCGGTCCATCCTCGTAACTCAACATACCTGTCGACTAAATTTGAAGGGATTCGATAGGTGTCAGTGACATGGCTAGTAATCCAAACTTTGCAATGAGGAAGCAACGTGCCTTTGATTAAGTTGGTGAGAAGAACGTCAAACTTTGCTGGCTCTCTAGCGCTTGTTATAGTTTTGTTATTTTTGAAGTCCAGCGGATGCTGACACATCTCTAAAGAGTCGATAATGAAGAGACACAAACAGTCTTCCTTCTCAAGGAATTTAATGTTTTCGGCTTCTCCGTAAAAGTAGGAGATAACCTCTAGGAAGCTCCGATCTTTATCCTTTCCGAAGTTCAGATCTTTTGCAGGCAGCGGGAAGATGAATTGAAAGTCTCGATTGGTTTTTTCCTCCATCCAATCGATAATGAACTTGCTGATTGCCACCGTTAGACCGCAGGCGGGGACTCCTGTCATTATGACGGTACGGACTGGTTTTTGGTCTTGAGGGAGGGGGCAGAAGATGTCGGCGGGTCTGATTGCGGTCTCCTCGATTGTGTACGGTATCTTTCGGACCTCGTTCTCAGGGTTTACGACATCTCTTCGGCCTCGGATTACGGTTACCGGTTCAACGTAGACGTCGCTAATGTAGCGCTGCTGACCCGGACGACAGCGGCCTTCATAAAGAGAGTAATAGCGTCTGTCGTGGGCAATTTTCAGGTCATGTTGTAGTAAGACTGAAAAGAGAAAACAAAAACAATCTACATCTTAACACCGTGATGTTTTGATAATGCCAAAAGTAGCTGAAAGAAAGCTGCATCATCTATCGGGTGATGTGGTAAAGCTGCTGTACCTCTTCTACAGGTCTTTCTCAGGATTACAGCCAGATCGTCTCTGCCGATGCTCTGGAGGTTTCGTACAGTGAGATACAGAGCTTCCCCCTGTCCGCAGATCTCGATCATCTTATCGGCCACATCCAGCGGGTCCTGCAGATCCTTGATCGTGGCGTAGTTCTTCTTGAATCTGCAGTGAGTGCTCAGACTGCGCTTATAATAGCCCATATCTGACGGGTGAAGCTGAGAGAGACTTCTCACCATGGCCTGAAAGAGGCAAACATAAAAGCATGAACAAACATTATCTGCGACCTACTTGCTGTGAGGCGATCGTGCTTTCGTGCACCACCGTGACACCTTTCTTAAACAATCTTTGAGGTTAAGACTCCGCTATTTTACATTCAGAACAATTGTTAGTATGACGCCTTGGTTAAATTTATAGCTATCAAGCTTGCTGTGAACGGCACTTTAATAGTAAAAATGATGTATATAGTAAATGTGTCAGAGCTACATTTATTGTCTGGACCAATTAAAAGTAAGCAAAAGCAGTGACTGACCATCAGCACATGGCGCAGGGTGAAGGCGGTGTGTGTATGTTGAAAGTGCAGACCCGCGCCCTCTGGTGGACGAGGAGGAGGATCCCTCTGTTCATCAGAGTACTCAACAATTTCATCAAAATCTTCAACTGTTGTAGCCTCCGCCTGCTCCTCCTGCACCTCCATTGCAGAGCCTTCGTTCTGTTGATCCTGAAAATCCATCTCTCTGTCATTCGGTTCTTCATCCATCTCTGCTTCTGTCCGAATTTCGCTCTGCAGCTCAGATTGATCCAGGATCGTGGGCTCTCTGTTCATGCAAAAATGACAAGACAACACCAGTCTGGCGAGTATGTTTGCTTCCAGAATATGTCTGTGAAATTTATTACATACAGCTGAAGGCGAATAATTTGCCTTCAGCTGTATGCAGGGCTTTACATTAACTTTTTTGATCACCAGCCACAGTGGCTAGTAGTTTTATAACATTACTAGCCACTCTACATTTTCACTAGCCACACTTTTGTTGTTGGGAAAATATTTTTATATGCAGAAATTTGACTTTGACAAATTACTTGATTTAAATGTTGTGTTTTGTCCACATGCCTCCTCATTCATTTCACGTTTTGTGTGTCGTGTATGAGCAAATAGGTCATGGTTTCATAGTGTCATACTGCAGTTAGTTTTTAATTCACATGACTTTACTTAAAATTAAGGGTTTACCAAATGTATCTCTGACCACTCCAAACAATAATTACTTCTTAGCTCCAATTTAAATGTGTCAAAACAAGCTAAATATAGCTGTATACTATACTTTTTATTTAACAAAACATCTTTTAAAAAAACCAAAGAAAAACAATTGACTTTTAAAAATAATTATTGTCATGTATCAAAAATATGCACAGTAATCTGTCCTCGCTAAAGGTCTCTCAGATCACCAGGTAACTACACATAAATGTAGAGTTAGGGTGCTTTCACACTTAAACTTTTGTTTCGGAACGTGTCTCGTTTGCCCAGTTAGCGCGGTTCGTTTGGCATATGTGAACAGGGCAATCACGCTCTGTTCCGCGCCAAAGTAATCGCTCCGAGATCGCTTGAATGAGGTGGTCTCGGCTCGATTAAAACGAACCCTGGAGTGGTTCGATTGCAGTGAGAAAGCGATCCGATCCGAGCGCGGTTATATTAAAATGTTTTATGGATATGTAATAGGCATACGGCTATATGAAGAGAGAATTATGAGTAGGGCGGGAAGTTTCGCGAGTCTCCGGATGCCCGCAAACGAGTGATGATCTCCCCGTAATCTCGCGTCTCCCTCCCGGTCCTCAAATAGGCATCATCACGCACCCTTCTCACCCCTCCACACCGGATCTCTCTTCAGACACGTCGCGCGCGCACCCTGTCAATCACTATCAAACCACCACCTCTCCTGACAGCTTAACGGGACGCTGCAAAATAAACCCTGACACTCTGACCAATGTGAGGAGAGTTTACTCGCACGTGACTTGTTTTAGCTCTTTTGGTCCGATTAGAAACTTTGCAGTGTGAAAGCGAACCGCTCCAAGAGCAAAGAGCAACAATGTAACAATTGTAATCTCTGTTTCGGAACAACTGAATCAATTCACAGTTGTGAAAGCACCCTTAATCTCATATTAAAGCAATTATGTTGTAAAAAAAAAAAGATAATTAAACCATATAAACAAAAATACCCGTAAGCAAAAGAAAGCAGGTGAAAAACATACTGTGTGATAATGGAAGGATGATCATACGGTTAAGGCCAATTAATAATCTGTTCAAAACAAAAGCAACCGGTGCTGCTTACTAAAAGACATATTTGGAGCTCTTGAAAGCTGCAGGGCTGTGGGTGCATTAGCATAACTTTTTTTTGCCTGAATATTTGAAAGAGACCCGGTCACAGTTGCGTTCCAGGCACGGTTACTTCAAGGAACACAGGCGCGCACAGGCTTTAAACAGTCGCACATCACATCAGCTGTTAGCGCGAGTGATCATCCTCTCATTCGGTATTCATTTGCTTTCTTCTGCTCGCGCGAATGCAATTGTTTTTGCAAGTCGTGCTGTTTCTCCATTCTAAGATCACATTTGGGTCATTCTTATAGTCGAACCCTGCTTTTAAGAAAACCACAATTTAAAAATTTTTTTAACCAGCCAAAGGGGCTAGTAGAGGTGTCTGTCTAACCCGCCAAAGCTGAAATCTACCCGAATTTGGCGGGTTGGCAGGAGTTAATGTTAAGCCCTGGCTGTATGTAATAAATTTCACAGACATATTTAGCCATCGAAACTGGCATGATTTTCAAAAATATATACATTTCCAACATTTTGCTGTTAAACAGATTTTCTCTACATATTTTTAACATTTTTTAACATAACTAATTTCTAGCAACTCATTTATTTTGATGACAGTATATAATATTTCAGTAGTTGTTTTGTAAGGTACTAGTATTCAGCTTAAAGTAACATTTAAAGGCTTAACTGGGTAAATTGGGCAAGTTAGTGCAGTTAGGCAAGTCATTGGACAACAGTGGTTTGTTCTGTAGCCAATCAAATAAAATAAAACATATTAAGGGGGCTGATAATATTAACATTAAATTATTTACATATAAATAAAAAAGCTATAGTTCAAGTGAAATTAATAGAAATAAGATTTTCCAGAAGTAAAAGTATGATAAAAATTACTTTTAAAATTCCCTTGCTCCATTAAACATCACATGGAAGATTTTACTTAACAAATTTGCAAATCGTTTTGCCTTGAATGTATTTTAATGTACAATAAATTGTCCATTTTATATGTATCATTACATAAAATGGCCATAAGTGCCTCTCTTTTTTTGTAAAAGCAAAAACACAAACATTTTTCAAGTGCGTCGTTTTAAATGCAAAATGAGTAGTTTCTCTCCGCCCTCTTTGTAAAAGAGAATGGTGGCTTTACTCTGACAAGGCTTTAAACACATGCAGACACAGGGCTTTATTTTAATTGTGTAGGCGCAAAGTCTAAAGCGCATTTGCTATTTACATGGCGACTTTGTAAGTGTAAAAACTGAACGCTTCACCAGCGAGAAAACAGTTCAACAGAGCATCTGCAGCGCGAGGATAAAGAATGAGCCTCCTCCATTCAGCCTCTTTACTTTACTCATTTACATTCATGGATAATGAAACTGTGTTGTACTCACTCCATTGCAGGCACGTGCACACATAGGGCTCAACCTGTGCAATGCACATGCCCTTTTTAGTTTTGGATAGAAAGTGCCCTTCCGAAATTATCAAAAGTGCCCCCGCGACACGACACACCCTCCGTCCCGTCCTTCAGTAGGCGCACAACAACACTGATCTTGAGTACGCGCGCTCAACCCCCCCTCCCCCGCTTTACAGTACGCGCGCGACAACACTACTCTTGCGCGGCGACGACGACGACGACGACAACAACAACAACAACAACAACAACAACAACAACAACAACAACAACCCCCCCGCACATGCCCTTTGGACGGTCTCTGCATGGGCCTGCTCCATTGAACACATCCTTTAGCCTACATATTTAAATTTGTTTGTTAAGCACAAACATAAAATAAATGAATAAAAAATAAATAAATATAAATATGCATATAATAAATAATACTGCTAATAATAATATTATACAGATGCAAATTGTTATGAATAAACTGAAAAAAACATGGAGGCAGGAAGAAGGCACGGAGGGAGGGGTTTTTATATTCATGTAGAAAATAAAAAAAATTGTAACATTTTAATCCGTAAATTTGTTTTCATCTGTAAAGATATTTGTGTATTCCTGTACACCCTGTGTGTTTTAAGCAATGTTTAGGTGAGGCACACAGCTAACGCGCTCTGCGCTGGACTTTAGAGCAGCTTTCAGCTAGTCTATTGCACAGTCTCTTTTAGTTCCTCTAAATAGCAACGTGCCAACAACGCGCCTTAACACACCTCCTTTCTAGACCAGAACACCCATAAGTCCACAAAGCAGTGCAAATGGATTGGATATTTAAACAACGTGGTGGAAAATATTAAGATTAGGGTTTCACTAGTCTGAAAATAACAACAAATCGCCGCAAACAGGTCTTGCGCCTTATTGCGCCAGGTCTATGATAGAGCCCATTGAGGTTATGCTCTTAGAATTTTAAACGGGAAATAATGTGATCTTCCAAGCATGCAGAGAAACAAGGCTTACTTAATAATAATAACTGACTTTGGAGTAACTCATTACATGATATATCATCAATATTATGTGCCTTTTAACTTAACTCTTAAGTAAAATGTAATGATAAACTGTTGTACTATTGCTGATATTTTAAGACAAGCACACCCTACTGAAGCAAAAAAATCCTATAGTTACCTGGTAGGAGGGGCAGGAGAGCGGAATTCTTCTTGCGTAATGGACTGTCGTGTGAGGTAAACTCCACCACTGTGGTGTATGCTGGACTGGTGTGTGTGTGTGCGTTCAGTAATGGCAGTCTCTGGTGAATCGGGCCGCTGAAGCCTGACCCTGAACAACACACAAGCATGACAGAAATAAATTCACACATGGACCACTAAAATAAATCTCTAAAATAATCAAAAGCATAAGTGCTCATTTGTTTCATATGTACTTTACAATAGAATGATTTAAGAGGAGTCGTTTGGCAATGAGACTTTTCTGTGATGGCATTTTCAGCAGCCTTAAAAAAAAAAAGGATTATTTAAAAAAAAAAATTAATAAAAAAAATCACATTTATTCAAATAAGTCACAATATAGTTGCTTTGACTGCATATTGGATTAAATAAATGCAAACTTGGTAAGAAGAGACTTGAAAACGAGAGAAATCACATTAATTAACCAATTTATCACTTAATTTGGAGTTCACTGTACCAAGTAGAAAATGTAATTTTCATGCAGCAATAAACGCAGAAGTTTTTAATCACGATATAGACCTTTTTCATGGCTGCTGCATGGAGGGCGCCATAGCGACCAGCATCTTCCGGTAGAATGCTAAAAACTTCCGTTTACAGCGTGTACAACTGGTAATTTGCGCTCCGAAAATGGATTTGAATGACGTTTTTAATGGATAACAGAGTGTTTTTGTGACACACAACTTAGAAATGTGTCTGAGAGAGAGAGAGAGAGAGAGAGAGAGAGAGAGAGAGAGAGAGAGAGAGAGAGAGAGAGAGAGAGAGAGAGAGAGAGAGAGAGAGAGAACCAGAGACCAGAGTACTGGCATGAAACTTAACCGGTAACTTATGAAAGTCGTTCAATTTACAAAAATGAGCACTAAAAGTCTGTTATTGATCCTCTGCTGGCTGATTTGCTGTTCATTCTAATCGCGAGCCGTTTGTGTTTCATTTTGTGTGTTGTTTTTACCACGGTTTGTGTTTTTCTGTCATTTGGAAATGACACTAGCCTATATTTTCACTTTGTCACAGTTATTAAATCAGTGTGTCACTGGCACAGTACAGGCTACATGTGTGTGTCAAACATTTTGGTGATTTACATTTGTTTGGGCTGGTTATATATTTGAAATAAAGAGAAAATGTTGACTTTAGCGAGGACGAGGCTTCATTTAAACTGCAGAAGATGCCGTCTGACAACGAGGGGAAAACGCCTCACAGCAGCTGTTTTCCATCCTATTAGATCGCATTTCTTTAAATGGTCAGTCCAGGAGATGGCGCTGATTGACAACAGTATTAGTTCAAAGAGGATAAAAGCAGGTAAAATAGATTAAAACTATCGTTTCAAAGCTGTCCAAATGTGACTGTTTACACGCATCAGCTGCCGACCGGAAGTTCTTCGCATTCTCCTTGCGCATACACGCAAAGCATAATGGGTAATTTTGCGTTCCAAGAAAAAGGTCTATACAATAATCCGGCTACCACCGCAAATATATTTCTGTGGGAAGCACTGAAGATGTTAATTTGTTGCGACTTAAGTACTTAATTGAGCTTATGGCTAATAAATTTAAATAACTTTGTATAAAAAATGTCACAAAAAAAGAAAAAAAAAGAAAATAAAGTGGTAGCAGAAAAGCAGAGACAGTAAATAATAGGACATAAATGTAATAAAAAGATTTTCTATCAATATCTTTGGCATGTCGCAGGTCAAATTAAAATGTGAACCTGTTTGAAAATAAACAGTATTTCAAATACTCAAGCATTCAGTGACTGAATACAACAATCTGAAAATGCTTAAATTTCTTATACTTTATAGCAGGGGTGTCAAATCCAAACTTGGTAAGGGCCGCACTGAGTGTTGCGAGTAAAGTCAGGGGCCGTACATACACATTTAAAAAAAAAATTTTTATTGGAGAAAATAAAAGTGTATTAACAACTGGATTACATCTCTTACACTTAATTAAACCATACTTATCAAAATAGTAAGGTTTTACATTTAATTTGTGTCACATCAGGTTTTTTTCTCTATCAACACATGAAATAAGGTCTCTAAACAATATAAGCATAATACAGTACAGTAGACTAGCATAGAACAGTAGTCCACTTTAAAAACAATTTCATACTCAGAAAAAACTGATGATAAAAAAAAATGCCAACAACCAATATACCACACTCTAACAAGCAACAGATGGTTTCTGATATTGTACTATTGAACTTATTCTTTTAATTTAAAAAGGCAACCTAATCATGAACTGATCCATGTCAACTGTCGATGCCTACAACTGAACTTGTGGATTTCAGAGGAAAAAAATTTAAGCAATATATTTATTAGTAGGCTATTATAGATAAATGGTGGCCTATATCAAAAAATGGAAAGAAATTGTATCATTTAGATTATTTTGCTCAAAATTCTGCCCAAAAAGACACTTGCACTGGGCTTGCATGCCAAACCTAAGAAAATTAGGGATTTTTACCAGAAATCCTGCATCTTTTCATAAAAACAATCTCATCTATTCTAGGTGTAATGTCCCGTGCCATGGCTACTTTCATTACAGACGTAATATTGTGGTCTGTGAGGCAGGATCTGTGGGATGTTTTGGTCAGCTTCATTATAGAGAACATTTATTCACATGAGTATTTCACCTTGGTTGAAACTGTCGATATTCGCTGTCCACTTTGCGTTTTTTTGACATTGTGCTAGTCCAAGAAATATTTGACCTTGTTTACATTTATTGCATGTTACTCCAACGTCTAAATTAGTGAGAAGGGTAAAGCGCAACAGCACCACCTGCGTCTCAATATTGTAATTGTCACAGACCTAATATTTAATGTGAGCACGGGCCGCTTGAACTTCATTACCAAAACTTGTTGTCTGGCCTGATTAAATGTTTTGACGGGCCGCATTTGGGCCTTGTAATTGACATATGTGCTCTATAGTATTTTACTGCACTGCATATCGGCACACAGTACTCATTTCAAATACTCTGTAAACTGTAGAAGACAAAAATATTAGACAAATTATTAGACTAAGGTTATTTTTCAAATATTTCCCAAGATGGATTTCCTATTTATTTGTTCATCACTGCTAAGGTCAATATTTTTAGCCCATTTAAAATACATATACATATATTTTCATCTTAATACTTTAAGCTAAATAGTAGTATCTTGCAAAAACTTTACATATTATGTACTGTCAAGATAGTAAAGACAAAAGAAATCTTTAAAAGTGCTATTAAAATTATTTTACTTAAATTGATTTTCTCCTTTAAACATCACTTGGGAAATGGTTGAAAAATCATTTCACAGGAGGGCGAATCATTTTGTTTTCTACTGTAATTTAGTTGCCATGTTTGACAGAATTCATCCTGCATGACATATTCAGTCTAATATCATTACTATAATTCATAGAGTAAGACGTTAATGCTTTTGTGCATTAATCTGTTTGTTATTGTACCTTGCAGGTGGTGGTTCAGAGTCTTCAATGTAGTCCAGCTCCTCATCTTGATCATCGCTGTGCATGGAGCCATAACTGCTAGGTGGCCGGTCCATCCTATTCCTCATAAAAACAATGAGAACATCAACAGAAACACAGCAATAGCGGAAGAAACTAGCATGAAAAGGCCTTTCAGCTAATAAAAACTCATCCCAGCAGACAATGAACAAAGTGTAACAATTTTTTTTCTTTTAAGTCACAAAAAAAAAATAATAATAAATACTGTGCTTTTTTTTTTGAGATCCTCATATTCGTATGAGTTTTAACACAAGCCTGAGCAAATCCTGAACATCTGAACCAGAAAAAGATGCATTTTGTAATTCTATCTGAAAACCAAAGTCTTCTGCTGACAGTAAAAAAATGTTTTCAGATGCACTAAGTGGCTTGATATTTGATCTGTCAGATTATTTTACAAACACAGACGTGATGAGGGGGAATGATGTGAAAATCCAAATCCTTATGATCTCTGAACATCTCATACACCCATTTCCCCAAAAAAAAAGACATATTGGAGATCACACAAGTTTTAGTGCTGAGCAAAGATTAAATTGCATCCAAAATAAAAGTTTTTTTTTTACTTAATATGTATTTATTTATTATGGATATAGTACTGTTGTATGAAACAATACTATACAATTGTGTTACGTAACATATACATTTAAATTATATATAATTTGTATCATACATGCATATATTTTATATCTAAATATAAATAAACATCTTCTCAAATGTATTAATGCCTTTGTGCATTTATAAAATCACTGGCCACTTTATTAGGTACACCTGACCAACTGCTTGCTAATGCAAATTTCTGATCAGCCAATCACATGTCAGCAACTCAATAAACTAATAAATAAATGCTGCAAAACTGGTCTGACCAACAAGCTATTACCCAATTGAAAAGGATTTAACTGTTCAGAACAGATTAATATAAAATTATTAAACATCTTAAAGAGACAATAAAAAAAATAAAAAATAAAACTGTGGTCAGATTTACTCATCTACATGTTTGCTGCACAGTCATTATCGAGGTAATGTTAGTTTTATATTCACACATTCGTTCAGTGACAACTTGTAACACAATCCCTATATTGTTTACCAAGGTACTTTGAGTATTCGGTCTGAAATAGCATGCGAGTATGACTTCAAAACAACATTAGCACAAATTAATTGACAGTGAACAATGTTGTACTTTGATAGTCATTAGCCCCTTTCACACATACAGACCTTTCCGGAAAATTACCGGCAATTTTCCGGAAAGGTTGTATGTGTGAACAGGTCCTTTTTGTAAATACCGGTAAATTCGTTCTGGCTATTTTCCGGAAAGAGAAGTTGTAACATTACCGGCAATTTGCCGGAATGCTGCGCTGTGTGAACGCAGAAGGAATATTTCCGGAATAAGCGCGTGCACGTCTAGAACGTGCTGACGTGAGACGTCTGCTTTAGCCAATCACAACAGTCAGACGCATTTACGTCCGCGCGGTTTGTGAGAATAAAAGCCTTTGAATATTTTTCCAGACGCATTTAGCTGCTAGAAGTTAGTCAGATCACGTTTATATGTTCTTCTTAATGCCAACTGTGCAAATAATCATCGATAAGATGCTTATGATAAGCCGTTGTTTGTTTACCTTCAAGCTTTGCGTGTGCCCATGAAACAGCCTGTGAGCGCCTGCACACACACATATTATGATCTCGACATGCGAAAGTGATCCTGCGAAAGTTGTTCACAATATTGATCATCAAAAGAGTTTGTAATTTAGTCAAATGTTTACAAATACAAACGCAGCCGTTTAAAGCTCATTTGTGGTGAATGATGTCAGAATTTACCGGTATTTTGGAATGGATGTGTGAATGCTCTTTTCCGGAAAATTTCCGTAACGTCCTCGCCTGTGTGAACAGCGCTTTTTTGAATATACCGGTAAAGTCGTTCCGTAAATTTTCCGGATATTTACCGGTATCACTGTGTGAAAGGGGCTATTGTCTGAAAATATAATTTCACTATTTAGGGCTTGTAAATAATTTTCTGAAATTGTATTATAACGTAGAAAGTCTGAAAGTGTGAATAGAAAACCGAACATTGCCTTTACTTTATATAGCAATTTTTGTTTCTATGGATGTCAATAGCTTTTTCTAACATTCATCAGAATATATTGTTTTGTGCTGATCAAATATTCATTTAAGTTTAGAAGCACTTGAGTTTGAGTAATGAAAATGAGGAAATTTTCGTTATTTGGACGAACTATGGGCCTGACTGTAATGCAAAGACTAGCACTAGCCGTTTATGCTAATGGAAACTGACATGCATTGAGAGCAATATTTTTCCGAAGCAGTTTGTTTTTCTTAAGTAATCTTCTTTTTTTCCTTGAATATCTAGACTTGAGTGTCAGATAACAAACCGAAGCTAAATCTGGTTTGGCAGAGCTAGCATACCGGTTAAACAAGACTAATGTGAGAAAAGTTAAACAACACTTACCGATCCACATCAGAATCACTATCTTCAGCAACAAGACTCATGATGATCTTTATAAAGTGCTTACACACAGATCACAGAACAGCATCTGCTCCAGAAACAACACAATGTGTAAATTAACGTTATCTTTCACAACCCCAAAGGAAACTCGACATATTTTTCAAGCAGTTTCAATAACGTAAGATTAAAAAAGGCGACAAAACTTACCCAAGACATTTAGTGAGCGATTGAGCGTTAAATTGACTCGATTAATAGTCAATTCTGTCGATATTTTGCTTTCAAAAAGAGTTTAAACATCCACGGCTTTCGGGACCGTCGGAAACAAGGACTTCCGCATTTCCTGTCAGGTCATTGATGATGACGTCACCTTGGTTTCGGTTTCGATAGTTGCGCAACGAGATAATAGACATGCATTTATTTTATTAGTTTTTTACATTTATTTGTTTGATTGTTTATTATTTGATGGCTTTATTTAATTGATTATTAGTTAGTATATATATTTATTTAAAAATATAAAAAAATAAGATATGTTCTAATCCTGCATAAAATAAAGCTGCATTACACTTATGTCATTCATTTATCAGGGACTTTACTGTCGTAAGCCAAGTACAAGGCAACGAAATGCAGTTTAGGTCTAACCTGCAGTGCAATAGCAGCAACTGCAGGATACAAGTGCAGTTATAGAAAAACTATGGTGATATTTACAGATGGATGTACTATGAACATTATATACAGGTTGTATTAGCTATGAACAGAGATTTACAATAGATGAATATATGTACAGGTTACTACTAATAATCATTAGTATGCAGATATACATTTGTAATTATCTTCATACATGTAATTTAGGATGAATTAGTGCAACAGGGCAAATGAATGTACAATTTTAAATGTGCAAATATTAAATAGTGCAGTGATCATAGGGAGTATAACTTATGAGGAGAGTGTGGGGGTGTATGAAGAGGGCAAACGAGTCTGTGAGGGGCAGAGTACAAAAGGGAGACAGCTCTGCGAAAAAAAAAAATGTTAGGTGCGTTCGACATGAAGCTCAGCTGCAGCCGGTGATCAACGAGATTAGCCGAGCGCAGGCGGGGCGGAGTTGAGAACGCAGCCGTCAAGACGGACAGCTGGATACTTCGGGACTCAAAGTTGCTGCAGTCATGATGACCGATTACATGGCGTCATCATATTTTTTTGTTATTTTTATTTATAACAACAAAACATTTACAAATAAAACAGAATACAGGCTCTTCAAACTGTTGTTCCTTTTTAAACAATAAGAGAGAATTATGAATAAAATATATAACAAATGCATGAGAGAAATAAGAGGAAATGAGAGGTTAATATAAACATAAAAACGAACAGGTCTATTAAATACAAGGCAATAAGCATAAATTCTAGGAGTTAAACATCAATCTTTAGGCTAATACTTCTTGTTTGAATCTGCTAAAAAAGGGTTTACATATATGTACATTTATAGATATAAAAATTTCCCATGTAAAAAGCAAAACAAGGTGTTTTGATTAGGTCTTAATAAATGACATTATTTTGGATGATGAATGAATTTTCAAAAAAGCATTTTAATCCAAAAAGATTGTGTTGAAAAGAACAAAAGGTAAAATAAGTGAGCGATGTAGAAGTTTCCCAGAAAGAGCAGGTAGCCTTTAAACTGCTAGATAGAAAATAAAATATATATTTATATTATAATAATAAAGCCATTTTATAATTATTTAATAAAATAGTTCTTTACTTTAATTTGTTAAGAGAGCTTTAGGGTGGCAGGATCAATGATGATGATTTTCTTATTTCAAGTCTGTAAGACTTATTTGAGTTCATATTTAGGTTATTCACTAAAATATACACTAAAATATATCATTTAAATCGTTCATGGAGATGAATGCAGTAAATAGTCTGTATAAAAAAAGTTAAAAAATAAACCTGTGCAAACAAGCTAACCTTTATAACCAGATTATTAAACAAAATATGATACTGCAGTAAAATATTTGTAGTCTTTTAATAAGCAAGATGTGTGCAGGATAGAGAGGGTGTGAAAAGTGAATTGTTTGTTTTGAAACTTTTGAATCGGAATTTGTCCAATTATAAACCCAAAATACACGTGTTTGTTGTCATGTGGTGAACTTGGCCAATCGTGTAATATCGGTGTCGTCATCAAAGCTCCTGCAGTCGCTCTTCAGAAGCTGCACGGTCTGAGTTTGCCGTCTGATCTCGGAGCGCTGTCGCGGTACTTTGATGCCACATGTGACAGTCACGTGGCGTCGGCGCAGCATCAATCCGGACAAGATTTCTAACCAGAATGCACCGCTTTAAGACAGATTTCGATCGATCTGCGCAGCGCTGCATGAAGTCGAACGCACCTGTTGAGTCTGCTGGTTTTTGTCCGGGGAAGCCTGAAGTGCCTGCTGGAAGGCAGGAGAGAATACTGCTTGCTCGAGACAGACAGTGTTTCTTCTGGATGTCCTCAATGGAGTGCAGTCCCTGTGGCCACGTTTACACCAACACATTGTAGTTTTAAAACGGTGTTTCAGAATGAAAATAATCCTTGTCCACACTGGCATTTCATGCAGTGTTTCTGTACAGCTCTCGGTCCACACTACACCGCTGAAAACGCACATCACATGACCCCACACACACACACACACACACACACACACACACACACACACACACACACACACGCTTTGAGCACATCTACCCATTTGAGAGCAGTGCATGTCAGACTGTTCATCTACCGCTGGATCTAATCTCACTGTATTTGTTAAACATAATATTTAATTCATCTTGTTGTTTATATCTAACCCCGACCTCTTTCCCGAATTTGGTCTTTTGAAATTATTACTTGTATTTAGGTAACATGTTTTGGCCGAGTGCAAAGATAGGTTAATGTGTTTATGCAACCGCGTACACTGATTGTGCACATTTGACTGATTGCTTGTCATTATTTTCTTATAATCTATAAACTTATTGCACGTTATACTTTTAAAATGGCCATTATTGATTATTAAAACTGATATTCAACAAGGGAAAAGGTATGCTTCGTATTTTTTATAAAAAATAAAGAGGCAGTGATGTTATAGGCTCTGTTTTGTATATAAATATGAATAAATAAGTGATTTGTTATAAATATGCACACAGTGACGATGACAGTCATATAAATATGTAGCTACACGAGGCCTCAACTTTTTTGGATTCTGTTAAGTTGTCAATATCAAAATGAAAATAGGCAGTTCCTTATATCATGTCTTCATAGTATTGTTAAGATAGTGAAACAATGTAGCCAGGGTGATGTGAATGAGGTTTAACGTACACTGCTCTCTTACCTGATGTGTCCTCGAGAGTTTGTTTGCCATATTAACCTAGCAAAGTCTGAACTTACAAGGAGGGGATGCAAGATTGAACTATGTACGCTACTTAATATTGAGGAAAAGGCCCCAATCAGCCCGCCTCCGTTTTCAGATGTCTCCGTTTTCCCCCATTCACATCGAAACAGAGCAGCAGTGTATTTCAAACTAAAACAACCTCTTCAGCATTTTCAAACAGCTCAGTTTTCGGCACTCGAAAACCCCGGTGTAGTGTGGACGGATGGCGTAACCGTAGCAAAACTTATGCATTATAAGACGAAAATGTATTAGGCTGCACTTAAACGACACTATCCGAACTGTGCCCTGGAAAGAAAACCTTTGACCAATGAAAAACCTTTTGCCACGCTATTGCTCCGGTTACTGCAGTTACACCTATACTAGCTGAATTTGAGCCCAAAACTGAAAACGAGACGTGACTTTTAAGGGACTATCTCATATGGTTTTATTAATCATTCTTACTGTTCAATGAACGCTAACTTGGTCACCCACAGAAGCTAAGCAGGGCTGCGCACGGCCAGTACCTGGATGGGAGACCACATGGGAAAGCTAGGTTGCTGCCAGAAGTGGTGTTAGTGAGGCCAGCAGAGGGGAACCCAACCTGCGGTCTGTGTGGGTCCTGATGCCCCAGTATAGTGACGAGGACTCTATACTGCTCAGCAAGCGCCGTCTTTCGGATGAGATGTTAAACCAAGGTCCTGACTCTCCGTGGTCGTTAAAAATCCCAGGATGTCCTTCGAAAAAGAGTAGGGGTTTCACCCTGGCATCCTGGCCAAATTTGTCCACTGGCCTCTGTTCATCATGGCCTCCTAACCCTCCCCATATCATAATTAGCTTCATCACGGGCTCCTCTCCACCAATCAGCTGGTGTGCGGTGTGCGGTCTGGCGCAAAATGGCTGCCGTCGCGTCATCCAGGTGGATGCTGCACACTGGTGGTGGTTGAGGAGATTCCCCCCATTGTGTAAAGCGCTTTAAGTGCCCAGAAAAGCGCTATATAAATGTAAGGAATTATTATTATTATTAAACTGTCATAGATTATTAAAGATACAAACCCCTCACAGCACGTCAGCTGCACCTTTAGCAAACCTCCTAATTCCTGCAGCACGAGGACTTTATGATTGTGTATGAGCGTCAAAAGTGGCTGATCGGTTCGATCACTGCATATCAAACGACTAAAGCGATATAACTAGGGAATAACTTTGTTGCGGGGGCACTTCAGATCAATTTGGAAGGGCACTTTCTATCCAAGACTAAAAAGGGCATGTGCACTGCACAGGTTGAGACCTATGTGTGCACATGCCTGCTATTGCGCAGCGTTTTGACATGAATTTTAACACTGAAATATGCAAACTTACAATTGAGTTTATAACACAAAAAATGCACAAAAAAAGTAAGAAAAAAGGCCAAAATAAATGTAAAAATAAATATGAATGTATAAACGGTTTTCCCAACAGTAAATAAATAATTAGTATTTTTGACATAATAGAAACAGCGTTCCCATTTTAAAACATACAAAAATCTTTTATTTTTATTACAAATAATAGCAAAAGAAGAAATCTTTTAAAAAAATAAACCAACATCAATCGACACAAATAAAACCCAGATACATACAGTAAAATGATCAGGAAAGATGACTGTGCTCCCTAAACACACAAAAATAGCCATTCAATCTAGACTTAAATACTGTGCTTAAATCACCATGTCTAAGGGTGTGTTTACACCGGTAGTTTGGTTTCAAGTCAAAAATGAATATGGTAGATTTAGTCCTGGTTTGTTTATAATTAGCGTTGCCCATATTAAGACCTAATCTATATCACACACATTATGACCTTCATTGAATGTATAATAAGCATCTAACAAATGCTATAATTCTTATTCATGAAACGAATATCACAGATTTAAGAAAACCCAATCAACTACCAATAGGGGGCGATCTGCACTAAGTTTTCCTCTCGCTCT